GAGAAAAAAAAGGGAGGGGTAAGATAAGATACACTAGCAGAAACCCTCTCACACCAAAACACCTAAAATATTTTAAAGTGCCATTTAAAATGAATTTTCAAGCTTATATGAAAGTAGGGAAAATTCTTTAAAACCAAGAATGAAGATGGAAGAAGAGTCTGGGAAGGTAAGGGGTCACTGAATGTGCTGGGTGCCTGGGAGACATCTACTTCTACTCTCTCTGCCCATAGCTCTAGGGAGCACCCACAGGGAAGGAAGGAGGTCGAAGGCCCCAGCATACAGCCGGGACTGGCAGAGGGCTATACAGTTAGTTAAATGGTAGAATAGGAGAAAAAAAACTGCAGGGGTAGCAAAAAAATCACATCTGTCTGCTTGATTCTAGATGGAATTATTTTTACCCCTTAAGAATTTGCAGCTTCTACTTGAAAGTAAGGTAGATTTGAGGCATTAATATACAATATTTGCTTGTTATGAAAAAGTCAATAATTTTCATTTAAAATGGACTCAGTAAATATATAGAACATTCAAACAGCACCATTAACAAACTTTGATGAGCACAAAAAAAAATTAGCAAGAATCAGTTGGAGAGTATAAATTATTTGCAAGAACAAATAATACATTAAAATGGGTTATATTAAAAGACATAAGAAAGTTTCAACAAAAATCAAAGAATAAAGAACATAACTTCTGATATTAATACAATTAAGTAAGAAATAAATTTTATGCCAATTTTTAAAAATATATGCTTCTATATATTCATAGTCAAGAAAATAAAATCAGGAAACACTTGGAATTGAATGATAATAAAAATGCCTCCTATTAAATTCTGTATATGGAACTAAAGTCATACTGTGCTTAAAGGCTGAAAATTAATGGGCTAATTTTTCAACTTAAGAAGTATAAAAAAAATAATAGATTAAATCCAAAGGAAGTTGAAAGAAGGAATAGTAAAGATATAAAAATTAATGAAGTAAAAAAAGATAAGAGAATCCACAAAGACAAAAATTAGTTGTGTATAAAGACTGATTTTTATAGCAGAAATAAAAGGAACTCAGTAGAAAGATTGGAAAATAAAATTGAATAAGTTCCCCAGAAAGGGGAACAAAAAGACTAAAAAAAGGAAAATAAAAGACTTAAAATTTAGAGAATCAGTCCAAGAGATCTAACATACAAATTCCAGAGTTCCATAGTTCCTGGAGAACGAATGAACGGGGAAGTAAATTACTGGATCATCAAAATTCAACAGAATTTCCCAGAAATCAAAGTAGCAAGTATTCAGAGTAAAAGGGCTCAGCCCAAGGAAGCTGTTTGTGAAATTTCAGTAAACTGAGGACCCCGCCCCCCCCCAAAAAAAAGAAAAGAAAAAGAATTTTCTAGCTTCCAGAGAGAAAAATTGGTCTTCATATAAAAGTTATGAATCAGAATGTCATTAGACTTCCAAAGTCATAACTAACGGGAACAGAGGGACACACTGTAACTCCAGGTGCCTATTCATCAGGACAATAAAGATGCCATAACATAACTTTTTATTTCACTTTTGTAGTGAGTTATAGTACCTAAATTTGTTGAATATTGAATGCATAAATGGTACTTCTTGCCATGTGTTTTTTATTTCAGGATATATTATAGCAAGAAGTCTATTTGCTATACATTAATTCTGCCCCCCCCCCGAGAAATTTGCCCTCACTGTAGCAACAGTGGAAGCCAGAAGACAATGAAGCAATGTCTTCAAAATTCTGAAGGAAAATCATTTCCAAGAATTATATACCCAGCCAAACTATCAAGTAAGAGTGAAGGTAGAAGAGAGATGTTTTCAGGCATGCAAAATCTCAAAAACAATTGATTTCCAATGCACCACTTTTGAGAAGAGAGGGAGTAAGCCAAGAAAGAGGAAGACATGGGACTTTGGGAAATAGAGATGTGACACAGGAGGGAAGAATCCAGGAGCGATGGTGAAGAGAGGTTCAGAGGAGATTGCTGTACAGCGGGCCAAAAGGCCACCAGTCTCCATGGGATCAGGTCACAGGATTCAAGGAGACATCTTTAAGAAGATCAAAGTCACTAGGTATTGTCAAGAAAATGGAAAATACTATTGGGTTTGAATGTAGTGAGCTAATGATGAATATATGAAAAACTGAACAAAATATTAATTTCAAAGAAAAAAGAATGTTCAGGAAAGGTAAAGTAGAATGTCTAGAATGTGGCTCAGCTGTAACTGATGTAAACATTGAATATTAAGCCAAAATTATGACATAACTTTAGTAGCAAGGTATGAGGACAGTGACTAGTGAGGGCAAGGATGTGAATAGGAGCTAAATTCCCATCTTCCAAAGTAGAAACGTCAATAGATAATGCCTAAAACAGAAAACTCGAAGCAGCAATATAAGCATATTTTTAGAGATATTAAGATAAATATCAAGAATCAGCTAAAAGAATTGAAAACAGTTGTAGGAAGTGGATTGATGAGGAAGAGGAAGAGAGGATTGGTTTTTTTCTCCTGATAATCTTAAGTAAATTTGGGGAACATAAAGGAATTGTCTCATCGATATTTTAATTTTTATCCCTTTGACTGCCAGTGAGGATGAACATTTATTCATAAGTATAAAATCGTTTGTATTTTTGTTACTAATTGTCTAATTCTCCTTCATGTATTTTTTTGAAATATTGTTCTGTTTTTCAGAACTCTCTCCATATTAAAAATAGTAACACTTTTTTTTCAGTAGTTGCCAATATACTTATGCAGCTCAAATTCTCAAATCTTTGTGAGTAAATAAGTGGAACTAAGGGAGAAATATCAAGTCATAAGACTGTGGGCTTTGGAACCAGGCAAATCTGGGTTCCCATCATACTTCATCACTTCTGGTTGTGTGACATTGGGTAAATTACTTAGCATTTCTGCATCTCAATTTCCTCATCTGTAAAACAGAAATAATAATAGTTGTGAGGATTCAAATATATATATATGTTTTATTAGCAGATATGTTAGCAGATCACATAGTAGGTGTTCAGGAAATGTTAATGTGGGTAACCAATTTTCAGAAATTAGGCAACTTGATAATGGATCTTAAGTGGTGATTAAATGTAAATATTATGTTGAGGGTATTCTAGAAGTCTTGATCCTATCATAAGTAGCTTTTCTTACATTTGACAGAGGTCTAAAAGGGCACAACACTCTTACGGGAAGGTCAGCCTTTTTGTTCTATTCAGGCCTTCAGCTGATTGGACGAGGCCCACCCACATTAGGGAGGGCGATATGCTTTCCTCAGTCTGTCATTTCACATGTTAGTCTCATCCCCAGACACCCTCACTGACACACCCAGAACGTTTGACCAAATAACTGGGCATCCCAAGGCACAGTCAAGTTAACATAAAATTAACCATCACATCATATAAGTGCAATCATACAGTATTTGTCCTTTTGTGACCGTCTTATTTTGTTTATCATAGTGTACTCAAGCTTCCTCCATGTTGTAGCATACGTCTGAATTCATTCTTTTTTAAGGCTGAAAAATATTCTTTTATATGTATACACCACATTTTGTTTATCCATTTGTCCATCAGTGGACACTTGGGTTGCTTTCACCTTTTGGCTATTGTGAAAATGCTCCTATAAGCATGGGTGTGTGTATAAATATCTCTTTTAGTTTCTGCTTTTAATTCTTTTGAGTATATACCCAGAAGTGGAATTTCTGAATCACATGGCCATTCTATTTTTAATTTTTTTGAGGAAACACCATAATATTTTCCACAGCAGCTGCACCATTTTATATTCCCACCAACAGTGTACAAGGGTTTTAATTTCTACATATCCTCATTAACGCTTGTTATTTTTTGCTTTTTTTTTTTTTCTTATAGCAGCCCTCCTAATGGGTGTGATGTGGTTATTAGTTTCTTTTACATTTAAATTTTAATCATTGTATGTCTATTTTTTTTCACTTTTACTAGATTCTTTGGCATTACCTCTTTAAGACTGTAGGCCCAGGTGTCAAGAGACGATGCCTAAATCAGTACTATTTAGTGGTAATTTTCAAAAGAAAATATAGTAAATAGACACTAGAGAAGAATAGGAAGTCATTAGTTTGGGGCTAAACAGTCAAAATAGGTAGCAAAGAAGAAGTAAGCATGGATGTGGGTGGTGTGTTATGGAAAATCTTTTTCTCAGAACCAAATGGTTGTAATAAACAGTCCTTTATATATAGTTGGAGTGGGAGGCAAGAGGGAGGAAAAGTCACCATCTAAGATGACTTCGTACAAAGCGCACTGCCCATCACTGTAGTCACAGAAACATTAGCACGTATGTCTAGTAGTAAAATGTCAATTTAATAACAGCTTCAAAAACTGTTAGAAGTAGAAAAGTGGACACCAGGGGCTGGGGGGCGTGAAGAATAGGGGGAGCTTGGTAGACGGGTACAAGCTTCCAGTTATAAGATGAATAAGGTCTGAGGATCTAATATATAATATGGTGACTCCAGTTGATAACACTGTACTGTATAATTGAAATTTGCTAAGAGAGTAGAACTTAAATGTTCTCACCAAAAAACTACTACTACTACTACTACTACACACACACACACACACACACACACACACACACACACGGTGATAGATATATTAAATGGAGGACTTTTTTCACAATGTATGCATATATCAAATCATGAGGTACACTTTAAATATCTTACAGTTTTATTTGTCAATTATGCCTCAAAGCTAAAAAACAAAAAAACTCTCTTTGAACATAGATGATGCTTAACCCTTTTTCTAAACTATTGATCTCCATGCACCTAACCCTTAACAGCCTTTTCTCAATTAAACAAGAGACCCCAGAATTTAATTGTAAATGATTATCTAAAATTGCCGTTGTGAATTTTTTGTGTTATGATCAAATCATGTGTGATATCCATTTTATTTTTTACTCAATTTATTGGGGGTGACATTGGTTAATAAAATTATATAGGTTTCAAGCATACAATTCTATAATACATCATCTGTATATGGCATTGTGTGTTCACCATCCAAAGTCAAATCTCCTTCTGTCTCCATGTATTTGACCCCTTTGTTCTTTTCTGCCTCTGCCACCTGCCTTTCCCTCAGGTAACCACTATACTGTTGTCTGTGTCCATGAGTGTTTGTTTGTTTGTTTGTCTTGTTCATTGGTTGCTTTCAGTTTTATATCCCAAAAATGAGTGAAATCATACGGTTCTCAACTTTTTCCATCCAACTTAATTTCGCTTAGCATGATAATTTCAAGATCCATCCATGCTGTTGCAAATGGCAGTATTTCATCTTTTCTTATGGCTGAATAATATGTACCACATCTTTATCCAATGATCTATCAAAGGAGCTTTGGTTATTTCTATGTCACGGCCGCACTGTAAATAGGGGTACATATATATCTACAAGTAAATGTTTTCAAATTTTTCAGGTGGATGTTCAGAGGAGGTATTGCTGAGTCATATGATAATTCTATTCTTAATTTTTTGAGGAACCTCCATACTGTTTTCCATAGTGGCTGTACCAATTTACATTCCCACCAGCAGTGTATGAGGGTTCCTTTTTCTCCACAACCTCTCCAACACTTGTCATTACTTGTTTTGTTGATAATAGCCATTCTAACAGATGGTTTGGATTTGCATTTCCCTAATAGCTAGTGTAGTTGAGCATTTTTTCATGTCTATGGACTGTTTGTATATCTTCTTGGAAGCAGTGTTTGTTCATGTTCTCTGCCCATTTTTTAATTAGATTGTTTGTTCTTTTGTTGAATTATATGAGTCTTTATATGTTTTGGATATTAGCTCCTTATCAGAGATGTTGTTTGTAAATACCTTCTCCCATTCAAAAGGTTGCCTCTTTGTTTTGTTGATGGTTTCTTTTGCTGTGCAGAAGCTTTTTAGTTTGATATAGTCCCATTCATTTATCTTTGCTTTTACTTCCCTTGCCTTTGAGGTCAAATTCATAAACTCCTCTCTAAGACCAAGGGCCATGGGTTTGGTACCTATGTTTTCTTCTATGCAATTTATTGAGTCAGGTCTTATATTTAGGTTTTTGATCCAGTTTGAATTCATTTTGGGGTTTGGTGACAAATAGCCACCTACTTTCATTTTTTCTCCGTATGACTTTCCAATTTTCCCAGCACCATTTATAGAAGAGGCTTTCTTTTCTCCTGTGTATGCATTTGGCTGCTTTTTCGAAAATTACTTGCCCATATATATGTGGATTTATATTTGTTTTAGTTCTTAATTCTGTTCCATTGGTCTGCGTGTCTGTTTTTCTGTCAATACTATACTCTTTTGATTGTTGTTGCTTTGTAGTATAATTTGAAGTCAGGGAGTATGATAGCTCTGGCCTTGTCCTTTTTTCTCAGAATTACTTTGGTTCTTTGAGGTCTTTTGCATTTTCATACAAATCTGATGATTTTTTGTTCTATTTCTTAGTTAAAAATGCCATTGGGATTTTGATGGTGATTGCATTAAATCTGTATATTGCTTTGGATAATATAGCCCTTTTAACTATGTTAATTCTTCCCACCTGCAAACACAGAATATCTTTCCATTTCTTTTGTGTCTTCTTTAATTTTTTTTAATAATGTCTTGTAGTTTTCAGTGTATAGGTCCTTCACATGCTTCGTTAGGTTTATTCTTGGGTATTCTTTTTGTTGCAATTACAAAAGGAACTGTTTTTCATTTCTTTTTCTGAAATTTTTTTATTAGTATATAGCAACGGAATGAATTTTTATACATTAATTATGTATTCTGCAACTTCGTTTATTGTTTTTAATAGTTTTTTGGTAGACTGTGTAAAAAATCATGTTGTCTGTAAAAAGTGACAATTTAGCTTCTTTATTCCCAGCTTAGATGCCTTTTATTTATTTCTCTTGCCTGATTGCTCTGGCTAGGACTTCCATTACTGTGTTGAGTAACAGTGGTGAGAGCAGGCATCCTTGTCTTATTCGTGATCTTAGGAGAAAAGCTTTCAGTTTTTCACCGTTGAGTATGGTGTCAGCTGAGAGTTTGTCATATGTGGCCTTTATTATGTTGAAGTACTTTCCTTCTATACCCATTTTATTGA